CCATGAACATTGAATTTGTATCTCTGGGCATGACAAGTATGCAAATAGCAATCACAGGAACAAGCTGTCACTGAAGCTTAAAATTGATTGACTGATTGATGATTAACCATGATTGACTAGGAACATTTACCTGAAATGAGGTAGGTACACATTCAACTGTCAGTCCTTCTAGTTTCACTTTTTCAGCTAAAGAATTAAGAGCAGAGAGAAGTGAGAAAATTGTCAGTTTGAACAGAAAAAGTTTAATTTGAAAAGGTTTCTCAGATTAGAAATGAAATAATAAACAATTTTTTTACGACCCATGAGCACAGCATGTTTTCACATGGGTATGATGCCCCAAAGATGATCAACAAACAACATAAAAAAGAGACATCTCATTTTCAACGACTTGAGATAAATTATTGTATCAACAGAATTACAGATAAATTAAATTTTGTTTAAACATGAATACCTATGCGCTCTACAGCAAATACAATCGTTGAACCACTTCCAATACCAATTTTCTGATTATTCTGCAAAAGAAAGTTGTTGTTGTTGATACATAAAGTTGTTGTTGATCCATAAATTGAAACTGTCAATCTTATAATAGCCACAACTGAGACAAACAAAATGATTGCTTAGGGACCTTGTGAAACATCAAGACTCTATATTCTACCAATAATGCTTTTTTAGAACCAGCAGAAGCCATGGCACATTTTGTCAGACACCTGCTTCTCAAAAAGTAGCAATATTGCTTGCCTCTGCCATTGCATTTTGTAAAGATTTTTTTCTATCAGAAACTTTGTCTTGTTGCACTGGGAATCATCTTTTAATTGCAGCATTCGCCAATTAGGGTAGCATCAATAGTACTATGAAAAATTTTGCTTTGAGACACACAATCAGCCATGCACCTGCTAAAATCTTTACGAGGAGGCCTGGTCAAAGTCAAAATAATATTTTCTCAGAAGCATGCAAGCAAATTCAGAATAAAGTCAAACTCACAAAAGTCAAATAATTCATTACTTGGACAAAAATGCTGGTCCATTTGGTACAAAAGCTATGAATTTTCATTGTATAAGATGGATTTTAATGAGATATTTTCATAAGTCAGACTATTTTTTCAAGTTCCTTCTGAAATTAGCATGGCATAAGTCAGATTTTTGTAGCAAAACCAAAATATTTTCATTAAATAGCTCCCTTGAGAAACATTTTTGAAATGAAACATATCTGCAAACAAAATATTTTGTATATGGACCATGAAGAGATCCAACTAATGCGAGTTTGACTGTATTGGTAATCTCATTGTGCTAGATTATTTGTATTTGTCTGCAGAATTGCACATATGGACACTTGATACAATTTATATTGCTTCACAGTGTACATTTAAAATGAGGGTGCAAACATCCACAGGCATGGCACAGGTAGTTGTTTTCTATCAGGGGTGGCTGCGAGAGATTTTAAAGTGCCATTAGAGAAAATTGTGGCATCAGAATGAGGCTCTCGCTGTTTTTACTTTCAACCATACCTTCTTCAATGGTTGTTTTCAACACTGCAATTGATTTTCTTGGCCACAAGTCAAAGACGCCTTTCCATTCTCTATTTTAACACTCTCTATCTCATAATCATAAAGAGAAAAGTAAAAAATCAGGGGGAAGGGGCTATGGCCACGATCAGAGGTATATATGAGCTCCAGGGCAACATCGCCCATTGTCAGACTTATAGTTTTTATTTTGATACTAATCCCAAAAAGATTGTAAAGTTGCAACACGTTTCTTAGTTCTAAATAAAATTCAGAGACATTTTTTCAAATTTTTACTAACCGACCTTCAACCTTCATTGGAATACATCTACAGTTCCAAAGTCATGTCTACTCATTCAGTCTTTCAATTACGACTGTAGGCTTTGGCTTGAGGCATGCAGATAAATACCATCAGCTTACAGTGAAAAGGCCCTCTGTTCGGAGGAATCTTGCTATTAGAAGTGACCTGGCCAATAGCAAGTCTGCATATATGGGGTCTTTTACAACAGCATGATTGGCCACTTTATGTCACACAAGGAGACACAAAAAGAAAGTTGCTATTAGGATTAACAAACCTATTTAGCAAAATTTCAGGGCTGTGGCTGTAGTATTTGTTTGCAGCTGTCAGATGGATGCATCACAATAAGTGTCGCGACAGGCATACTTGAGAGGCTTTTTTTTGAAAGGATCAAATCAGTTCAAGAGTGGTGGCTTCTGCTCACTGTACCATGGCCATATCATGCCATATCATTGCAAAATGGCATGAAAACAGTTGGGTATCCAAATGAACTGTTTTCGTTGATGATTTTCAAGTGCTTATTTCATTTTAAAGACATATGACCAGTAGATAGATTATGAGAGCCTTTGCTGAAAAAATTTGCTAATAGACTAATAACGTTAATAACGCTCCCAGCCACCCCTGTTTATTATACTACACTGAGCCTTTTCAATTCTAAGACATCAAGCAATGCACCAGACCAGTGTTTCCACGCAATGTTATAAGCAAGTCATTTGCAGATTTTGCACAAAATCTAGTTCAGTATTGAATTTGAAAATTTTTCTTTTAAGTCAAACAAGCAAACATTTAGAGCAAACATCAAGTTAAAGTCAAGGCTAAAATTGTTGTGTAATTGATTCAACCGCAGGCTGCCTCACCTCAACATACATATCTACGGCACCAAAACCCGCCGATTTCTTAGGCCCGTCCATAACAGCAGTGCGAAGAAAAACTACTTTCGTTTGCTCCCTAATGAACAATGCAACTGGAGAGATCTTCTCCTTTATAACATCTACTATTCTTAGGCCAAGAAGCGAGCCAATACCAGCATACATCAGCAAAAGAAGGAATTATCTTCCAAACACAAATTGCGGTGTGGTGTGCACTGCAAAAGGTCAACGATAGTGACCATATAATGCCAAATGAAAGTGAAAACGAGGCAAGCAATGACTTCTTCCTTTCTTTCTACGAAATCTAACTTCTTCCTTTCTTCTTTTCTACTTCTTCAGATCAAGTTGTTCTACTTCTCCATTCGACTCTATCTTCCATCAGTCCTGGCAAATCTTCTTCAAGGCATCCGGCATCATATGCAAGTTGGTCAATGTACGTTTTTGCTGTGTGGCCTCTTTGAGACTGTCTTTGAGAAGCGGTCTCCAAAGCAAGACATCGCTGACTACCTCTTCTTTACTGCGCCAAGCATGTCCAGCTCTTCTTTCTCGTTGTTCCATTGACACTTTTGGAATGTCTCCATACAGCTGGGCTAGTGTTGGGTGGGTTTCCCAATCTATGTTTAGGATGGCCCGAAGCATTCTAGTGTATGTCCCATCAAAAGGCTTCTCCTGTTAGCGTGTCAATGTCCAGGCTGATGATCCATACAAGAGCACTCAATCTACAGTTAATAGAAAGTTTAATCGAATCGCTTCAAGTCATCTGATAAGCCAGATTTCCAGATGCAACTTAACTTGTTCAGGCGCTCCAGGCTTTCCCTTTTCCTGAGTCTTTTTCAGTAGATTCAACAAGACTGCCGAGGTATACAAAATCATTAACAGGCTTGATTAAACTTCTAAGGAATGGATTCTTGACAACATTGATGGTGAAGGTGAGACCGATTGTCTTCGACAGTGTTTCAAAACATTTTAGCAGTTTTCCAGCCACTGTCTTTGAATCTGAGAGAAGGGTGAGATCATTGACGTAATCGACATGAGTAATGTATTTGGCGGGACATCTTGACCAAGGTTTGGCTGAGAGTCTACTGCGACACGTAATAGGTAATCTTTTATTTTCCTCCCTACAGATAATACATTTACCTCTCTTTACACAATAAACACAGGACCGAGCTTGGTCGATCGCACACCCAATGCTGCAAAGACCATCCTAGACCGTAAACAGTATGATTTTCAAGCATGTCGCCCATGCCGCACAAATATGCAGGGCTATTTGTTATGCAAATATTTTACCAAATCTCGCCAATCAAAATTCAAGTCTTCACATATTTTTGCGGCACGAAAAGTCTGTAAACACTTTGTTGGATTACTGTGCCACACAACTGCTGGCAACGGAAGGGAAGAAAGTGAATGAGGTTGGAAGTTGTAAAAGAGAAGAATCCCAATTTTCTTTATCTATAAGGAAGAGGTGCACAGGAAATGTACAAGAACTGAATCTCAAGATTTTGTTTCAACTGCGTGTTGGATTTGCTGGAAAATTTGGAAAACCTTTTCAAGGGAAAAATGTTTGACTGAAAAATTTGAGCGTTTCAGGGCCACAGTCCCGTCGCCACTCTCAAAACTATACTGCAAGGCCTGCAAACCTCGTTGGTGAGCCAACTTCCGCTCCTAAAGAAGTAAAGGACATCCATTTAGGCGTTTCATCGATCAAAGTGTATCAGTCTTGCTTAGCGGGACAAATCGCAGCTAGACCGCCTGCTGTATTAATGTTAGTATTAATGTGCGACCGTCAACTTTTATTCTGTATCCGCCTCTGGTATGAAGTTAAGATGTTTCCCTGTAGGATGCCGGCAACAACGTCAAAAAAGTCTGTGTCCCCATCAGGGCCCAGCAAGGGAGCGAGCCATTGATCTAGTGTTTTTGCAAAGCATCATTATTGCCTTGATGTTCTTTTCTGGTATAGCATATGAGTCTAGGATTTCTGGCATTTTATCACGATGAATCGAATCAAACGCTTTTGGGAAATCTATGTGAAATCTAACTGACAGATTGGTTTTACCTAATTTATTTCCCAACATATATTGACACTTTTTCAGTAAGATAATATTAATTTTTTTAAGACGTTCTGGGTGTTATATAGTTAACAGCAACCCTTTTGATAGATGAAATTCGATACAGTGTCGATCAAGGCAAACTGGTAGGCGCAACGTTTATAGATCTAAGCAAAGCCTTTGATACCATTATACTCATTTGATACCATTATGCCTTTGATACTTATTGATCTCAGCAAAACTACTTTAAACACTCCCTCAGTATGGTATCAATGAGGGTGAATTTTGTTGGTTTACAGATTTTCTATTCCACGGTTCAAGAGCTGTAAGTTATGGTAAATCCTCATAAATGACAGCGGACATCCAAACAGAAGTACCTCAAGGCTCTATCTTGGTTTCTTTGCTATTTATGCTATTCTTCAATGATATCACTGATGTTTTTGAGGGTGTCAGGATATTCAAATATGCTGATGATACAGTGATCTACGTTGCTGATAAAGATTTGAAGGTCATCAAAACCAAGCTCACAAAAGAAATGGAGTCCATCTCTGATTTGTTTGATGAGAACGGTTTGATAATTAACTTGAAAAAGCAAGACGGAATTTTGTCTTTTTGGGACTTCGCAAAGAACTTCAAAGCAAAGTGAGACACTTGATGTAATGTAGCGAGGCTCTAAAATACTAAACAAAAAACAATACAAATATCTTTGTATTGAAATAGATAGTACACCAAATATGAATACCCACTTTGAAAAGTGTTTCAAACGAGCATCATCCAGATTGCGATTATTGGCAAAGATAATGGTCCATTATCTTTGCCAATAAAATGGATTCCCTTGATCTGACCTCTGCAAAGGCAGTGTATGACTCGATGATTCTACCAACCTTCACGTATTGCGGAGTACTGCTACTCAATTTGACCTCAACTTAAGCAAAGAGACTCTCATCATTTCATGATTGCTGTTTGAAAATAATCAACGGAAACTCAGAAAATCCCACATCAATTTAATCAGTTGCCAATGCCGTAAAGACCAGGGCATGTAAACTTGTGCGTAAATGTTTGGACAATGATATAGCTGAGAACTTTCAAAGTTATTTCGAGCTACAGCAGCACAAGACACAAACGAGAGACAGCGAATGTTTAATTAGGCTTCCAGGCATCAAAACAGATTATGCTAGGAAGTCGTTCCATTTTATGGGTGTACAGCAGAACAACGAATTACCAATAGAAAAACCAAATCTTTTAAGCAATAAGATGGACTGTTAAAGAAGCATTTTAGTTGAAAATTGTGATACTATAAGCATGGATCTTTTAAATGTTGTAATTACTGCTAGGTTTTTTAAGAGTTCTTTATAGGTTTTTATCTTTCTTTTATTTTTGTTAGAGGACACATATTGACAACAGCATTTTTGTTGTTTAAATGTTCATCCTGTATAAAGATTCGTTATATTATTATTATTATATTTATAATTGAAATTAGTTGGCTTTATTTAGCTTTAGTATAGCTA